TGCAGCCCTGTCATGAAATTAAAAAAAAAAAAAAAAATAGATAAAATAAAAACACACTGCCTCGAACACTGACTCAATTCATGCTCAGTTTGCCAAGAAAGCCACATCAAGAACCGACAGCTAACCACAACAGCAGACTGCTTTCCCATCGCCATGGAGACGTCAACGAACAAAAGGTTCGACCGGTTTACGTGAACCGATAACTAATAAATCTGTTGAGCGGGACCGATTCCCGCTGTAAATAGCTGCATCACGCCAAGAGAAACCAGACCCTGGCATTTGTTCCAAACGTGTTCAGTCAGATTTTTGTGACTTTATCGTCCTTGGAACAGACAATAAAAGTGCGTGTGCGTGCAACACTTTAACAACGTCTTTCAACATCTGGTTTGTCTTTCAAAAAAAAAAAAAAAGTTGGTTCTTGCTGCCAGCTTTCATTTCCAGGCAAACTTTATCAGTGCCAGCACAGTTTATTTCATTCATATTTTTATCATGTTTGGCTTTTATCACATGCACGATACAGTTCTACGCTTTTCCTGCATCTGTTGTCTTTTGTTGTGTCAGTAATTTATAGTCGTGCTGTATCACACGGTTCCCATCTTTTACTGCCCTGTATTCAGCCAAGCGTTAACCCTCTGAACCCCCAAACCTGCTGGTCGATTGTAAAAGGCACAGAAAAGAGAAAAAAAAAGGCAGAAATTGCACCATTTATCAGAGTCAGACACTGTCTAAACAGAATAAATCATCAGCTTTTCAGATTTCCAACTCTCCTTGAACTACTTATCTAAAAATCTAAGCTTCCAAGCGTAATGTTTAATCAAAATCACTTTGATTTACATGCATTCTTTGTTGCAAGCTCAATGAACAATAATAGTAATAAATAATCTATATTGTGTTAAGTCATCATTTTTACAGTATTGCAAACAGCTGTGGGCACTTTGAAAAATGTTGCACATGCTTAAATTACAAAATCAGATTTCCATTTCTTTCTTTTTCTATGATTTACAGCATTCTAACTGCATCATACAGCACAGAAGACATTTCACAGAAGAGTTTTCTATACTTCTATTTATGGTTGTGTTGATTCCATAGAGGTGCTGGATTTCACACTGCAGTGAAAAAATGAGCTCACAGTGAGTAAAAATGTGACAGGAGCAAAAAAATGTACAAAAACTGCTTGGAGTCCAGAGGGTTAAATCGGGACGTAGTAAAAAGCAGTTCTAGTTAAAACGGTGCACACTGTGTCTGTAGAGGTTTGTTGTCCACAGTTATAAAAACACTGTTTTTAAAAAGCGTTTCTGCAGTTGAATTTTGTAAAAGTTATTTTACTATTATTGTTTTTTTTTTTTTTTTTTAACTAAAATGTATCCACCCTCACTGCAATGGTGAAATTTCATCAATCTAAATCACCAGATACCAAAAAGGTCAAGCTAAACATTCTCAGTTTTTGTTTGATGTTTAATTGCATCTTTTATGTACCTTTTGGTAATTTGGATGAAATATAATTTTTAAAAAATCATGATTATCAACGATTATTTCCATTTACCTGATGGTTCAGGATAACACTGACATTCTCTGAATTGTCTGTTGCAGTATTTTTCTTTCACTTTAGTGATCAGATAAGATCTTTGCTTGTATTATTTCCATGACTGCAAACACTTGATACACCAGAAAAAACAAATACTGATTCTCAAAAGGAAATGATACTTGGATTCAAGATAAGGTCCAACTGCTTAGTTACAAAAGTTCTCACTTTAAAAACCTGTTTGCTTTGTAGAAAAGCATTCAGGTTAATAAGGCTACAGTGGATCACGGTGGCACATCAGAAAATGCAAATAATTACAGAAGTTTTCGCTGCTGTGCCACCTACGTAGACTGCACACAGTCTTGCTCTCAGCTGTGCAGCTGTGTGATGCTGTAGTTGTTTAATAGAATCAAAGAAAAGGAGGCGAATTTCCACCGTTGTTTGTTCAGCGTGGGACAGAATCTAAAGGCAGAGTTACCTGCTGTGATACTGAAGGAGACAGAGCTCAGCACCGGTGGGCTCCAGCACAGTTTAATCCCTGCACTTAACACAATCTGCCTTTTATTTTACATAATCCCTTTCTGATATCATACAGTCTCAATTACTTTTATTTTTGCATCCTGTGACGAGCTTCTGTGGCTAATTTCCCAGCAGTGACGATTAACATTTGGGCCAAAACGATTAACATCTGGCTGAACAAGGCTGTAGTGATTGTGTATTCTCAGCAAAAGGAGAATAATAACACGACTCTATGAGTATGAACGCCCTAATGAATGCATAAATTGACATATGAAGGTGTTTAAGGTCTTAGCATGCTCCAATTAGGCTTCTTTACCTTTAATCCTATAGGGAAGCTGTCTAGACTGGGATTTTTTGAAATAGCACGGGAACAGTCTTTGCTATGCAAGTTAAATGTATGTCTTAGAGGCTCACAGAGCGAGTGCTGGCCGGAGCCGACGGGCTGGTGAGGGACACCATCTCCTGGATGGCCAGCCGCAGTTTGAGGCGGTGCAGCGGGTTGCTGATGCCGATCTCCCTCTGGATCTCCGTGTCGGACAGGTTGGCCATGATGGCGCCGCTCTTCACATTGGCACGGCAGGCGGCGACGTACCAGGCCGGCATCCCCACCCACAGCTGGAAAGAGACGAGTAACACATGAAATAAAGGAAAAAATTTGACATAAAAATGCAATTTTGATCCAAGATTTTGCTCTCTAATCCACTGAACCTCAAAAACCACAACGGGCATTAAAAGGTGTGATTTTTTTTTTAAATCACCAAAAGTATTTAGCACAGCAAGAAACTTTAAAAACAGGAAGAATCATTGGATTTTCAACCTTTTGAACAACCATTTAACTAATAACTGAGTTTCAGTTGCGTTAGAGAAAACAACCAAATCAGAGCTTTCAGGATAATCAAAATCAAAATCAGCTAATCAAGATGTTCAAAGTAACTTTACTCTGCAAGTCTAATTTTTTAAAAAAAGGTAAAAACAAATAGTTTGCTCTTACCGCATTCTGTCTAAAACAAAAAAGTCTGTGCTTCTTGGTGCAACTGTGAAGCTATTAGTGACTGAGCTGTGACCAACAGTCACATGGCAAAAATTCTAAGACTTTTTGGCTTATCAGGGTTGAACTGCAGGCAGTGTTCACACAAACAGATAGGAGACAAGTGTGGAAACAAATTACAAATCTAAGTAGTAAAAAATCTGTAGTATGTAGAGCCACATTTCTTTTTCTTTTTTTTACAGTATCGGTAACACGAGGGCACACACAAGTGTTACACGTGCTGACTCCTTTTTCTTTTTTTTCTTTTTTGTAAAATAAATAATCAACTTCAATCATTTTATTTTTAAAAAATTATTTATGGCATTATAACATTATGCCACACAAAAGAGATTTCTGAATTCTCTCTATTTCTAATCACGGTTGTGCTGTTTCCATAGAGGGGCTGGACTTTATACTGCAGTGAAAAATGAGGCCACAGTGAGTACAAATGTGACAGGAGCTTAGAGGTTCAGAGGGTCAATTACGATCTCCTACCTCCAACCAAGATACAACAGTAGGTCCGTCCCAGGATGCAAAGGGAAGTCCTTGGCGACATGCTTCCTCCAGTAGCTCATGCCTGATGAGAGGAGAAACAGTTACAGATGTCTTCTTTGGTGAAATTCACTTGTGAGATCAAACTATTTAAACTCCGGTTCACTGACTTCTTCTTGCTGCGGCGGTCTTTATCTGCTGGACCGAGAGTTCCCGTCTTGTTCATCCCCATCGGGTCTCCAGAGGCCAGATCTTCAGAGGGTGTAGATGCTGGAAGAGACACATTAATGATCAAATATACTACAGACGTAGAAAAGAATAGCTCGAATCGCTGAGCCAGAGCGGTTCAAACATGTTTAAATGCACATTCTGACAGTGTGGATTACTCATACACACTCAGTGTCATCCCTCCCTCATCCTCCATCTGTTTACCAAGAGAAGCAGATCCATCTCGCCCAGGCTGGCCCATCCTTCCTTTCTCCTTCTTCCCAAAAAGCCGACCGATGGAAGACTTGATGCTTTTCTTCTTGCTGGACTTGTGGAGAGAATCTTGGCTGCTGTTGGAGCTGCTGCCATCTGCCGAAAGACTGGAGGAGACAAAGGAAATCACCAGGGGCCCAGAGCCAAATGCACATTAAAAGCACTGCATTTGATATACCTAATGGTTGTGTCTGTGTGTAAAAGATGGACGTAGCCTCTGGGTCTGAAGAGTGAAGCCAAAACCTGCATTCCTTCTAACAGCCAGCAGGGGGCGACTCCTCTGATTGCAAAAGCTAGTCAGATTGTATAGATGTCTATGAGAATGTTACCGTACTTCTCACTTGATTTGTTACCTCAGTAAACATTTTCCTTTTGAGCTTATGGTCTTTATTGCTTTATTGCTATTGCTGGAACTCTCTGGCAATACAGAATGGTGTTAAATTGGTAAATTACGCTCCCACTTAGAGTAAAATAGGCTTAAAATGTGGCTCACTACCATACAGGTGTGTGTATTGTCTTCTAAGTCAGATCAATTCCTTGCTTTTCAATTCAATTCAGTTTTACTTGTATAGCGCAGTTTATAACATATGCTATCTCACAGCGCTTAATATAGTAAGGCATATACCTTACAAATTTAAACAGAGAACCCAAGAATCCAAAGATGCCTTTGGACTCCCTCTGAGCTAGCAGTTGGCAATGGTGGGAAGGAACCAAAAAGCCCCCCACAAGGCAGGGGGGAAAAAAACTCAGACAGAACCAGAGTCAGGAAAGGCGGCTATCTGCCTCGACCGGTTAGATGAGCATGGGATGAGGGGGTGGGGATAATAGGATAGCAGATGGAGACTTTGCGTCTGGTATAAAAAAAAACCGAAGACGTCCAAATCCTAAACTCACCTGCGAAACTCTCGGGGGTCGTCGAGCATCGCCCCTGGATGGGTGAGGGTCATCCTGTCCAATCGCAGCGCCCGAGGAGTGGGAGGAGGCGTAGAGTCGAGAAGAGCGAGGGACCGATCGTCCTCTTTGCTGTTCTGAAATGTAAAATGTAAACCACATGATTAAATGTGATGAAAAAAAGTATTTCTAATAGTATGTAGGACCTCAGAGACAGATAAACCAAGCTACACATGTTTCATGACATCTTTTTATTAAATGTTATTTTGGGGGGTGAACTTGTTCCTCAGTTATCTTTAGATGGCAGCATGCTATTATTTCATCTAAAAGATAATTTGTTTAATCTCTAACATGAAAAAAAAATGATGGCAATATGCTCGGGCTGCATGACTGATCAAATATCAATCATGATCATGATTTTACTTTTCAACAATTAAACAGAAGTGAGCAACTGTGATATTGATGTTTAAAATCAAATTTGCTAAGTTTGTGAGAGTCAAACAATTGAAGGCCAAAAGAATTTTGGTGGTAACAGTCTAACTTTAACATCAACACTTTGTCTTCTGCAGATTTCCTGTATTTGGAGCTCCATGACTAACCTGCTGGTAATCCTAAACTATGTTTATACGTAGCTTCCTAACTGGAACCATTCTCCCCACTATCCTAAACTCCCACATTAACATTACTGCTTTTAAATCACTATGACAGCTTGTTTCCCGTTTATTGCATCACTTCTTGTAATCCATCCACCCATTTCCGAAATACTGGAACTTTCACACCAGTCTACAAGTTACTTATGAGCCAGTCTTTCCCAATCTAACGCGCTGCTGGAGAATAACTAAACTTCTCCAAACTCGACTGCACAATTCACTTATGCTTTATTTACATGAGTCACTGTCTGGAGGAGTCGTTTGCATAAACGGGGAGGTTGACACCGAGGTGAGATAAAGGGGTGAACTGGAACTGGAGTTCATCTCTACATATCAGCAGTACCTGTCTGTCGGTCTCCCGGGCTGGAGAGTGAGGCAGGCGAGGGGTGGAGTGTCCGGAGCTGGGGGGAGAGGGGGAGGCCAGGGTGGAGGATGTGATGGACGAGGGGATGAAGCCCCGTCCTGTGCTGTCTCTCCCCAGGGAGGAGGGAGGGATGGGCGGGCTGTCCAACGCCACGCTGACCCGGCTCTCGATCTCCTCGGCCCGCAACTCTGTGTTCTCCTTCTCCTCCTGGATCAATCTGGAGTTTCAGAAAAAGAGTAAAACGTGAGTGAATGTGAGAAAGAAGAAATGTTCTGCTGCCGTGCAGTTCAACTCTGAACAGATGAGGACAGATTTAAAGGAATTAAGGGTTTCACCAATACGTTGTTTTTTTCCCCAGGGCTGATACCAATTATTAATAATCATGAAGACAAATCACCAGGATACATTTGCAAGAATTAAAATCCTGGTGCCAAAACACAAACTCCAACAGAAAACGTGTTTATTTAGGTCATAGCTATTTAATCCTCTGAACCCTGAAACCTGCTGGCAAGTTTGAAAATTGCCAGAATTGCGTCATTTAGCAGAGCTACAAACTGTGATCACAAAACAAACAAACTGATTTTTCTCTTTCCCATGGCCACCAAACTAACCAGGTGTGACTTGCAGTTCTGCACCAAACTTAAAATCACATTTCATCAAAATCACCATAAATTTCACCCAAAAAATCAATCGTTTGAACTAAACAGATTCTGTAAAAAACTAAAACTTCCATGCTCCTCAGCAAAACTCTTAAACTATGACTGGCTCAGCTGCAACCAACAGTCATGTGACTTTTCAGCTGAACTGCAGGCTGTGTGTTGAAATTAAACTTTCATTTTTTCTCTTTTATACATTTATGTCATTTTAACGGCGTCATACTGAATATAGGACACTACTTCTGAGTTCTATCTACTTTTAATCATGGTTGTTCTGTTTCCATAACAGTGCAGGACTTCATATTGCAGTGAAAACTTGGTCCACATGGAGTAAAAACATGACAGAAGCAAAAAAAGCCCAACTCGTGACATGTAATTAATCAGACAGCACTGCGGGCAGGACGTTGCATGACACCATCAAGTGTTGACGTCATACAGACAGAGGCGGCTGCATCAGAGCCTAAGTGGCACATTTTATAATACATTTATCTTATCTGGCATTGATTTAAAAAACAACAGTAACGCTGATAACTGGATAATAAACTAGTCGTAAAGTAATAGTCGTTGTTAAGCTTGAAAACGCACTCATGTCTGAACATTAAATATGTAGCTACAGACAGATAAATAAAAATCTGCCTAGAAGAACCTTTGATGTTCATTAATGTTGTATTCTGCTCTTATTTCACCTGTGGTCAGAGCTTAGTACGAGGTTTCTGGTTCCCACTACATATTTATCATGCAAACTTGAGAGGTACGAGTCTCCTTATTCAGCTCTCTTCAAGAAAGCAAATAAGCACATTTCCCAAAATGTAATATTCCTGATAATCATTTCAACCTGTGACTGATATAAATCTGTCTAATCATCGCTAACCATCATGATGTAATCAGTTTGTGTATTTTTATAAATCCTGCAAAGCATTTCATTTCAAACTGATAGAAGACAGACACAAACTGAAGTTCCTCTCACGGACGATCTGGAATCTATTGGGAAGCTAAAAAAAAAAAAACTCAAGAGACGAGCTGATCACTGAAATCACATTTCAGTAACTGGCCAATCCATTCACTGTGACTTCAGTGAGACCTGCTATGTGAAGATGTGACAGTGAGTGAATGCAGAGACAGAAATAGTTTCATTTGTCCTCAAACAGCACAGATGAAGACAATTAACAAAGTCTGAACTTACACTGAGTTACCAGTTTATTAGGTTCACCTACAGCATGTAATCCAATCTGACCCGACTGGCCTCCAATAAACCCAGTGAAACTCAGTAACGCAGTTCAAGTTTGGCATTTGAGCAACATTGTAGGGTAGGTTTGTGGCCCAAAGAAGTAAAATCATCCAATGTTTCACCAAAAAAAGAAAAACATATCCACAATGAGGGTTGATTCCTCGATGGGGAACAATCAGCTGAAGTCGCCAAACTGTATATAATGTGGTTCAGACTAACTCCACCTCTGCAGCTGCAGCAGGAAACAATTACATGGCAGAATAATGAATGAATGAAAAATACTTTATTTATCCCACAAGGGAAATTCAATTAAAAATCAATAGCTTTTGTGATATTACCTCATAGTTTTTTATCTAATATGACTTTCAGCATAATGTGCAATATTTTAATTTCATGTGCAAAATATCACCATCATGTGCACCATAGTTTCCAGGTGCAGTCTTTCAGTTTCATGTGCAATATTTAAATTTAATGGCCAATATTTGAATGACATGTGCAACATTTAATGATCATGCAGAATATTTCATTATCATGTGAAATATTTCAATTTAAAGTATAATATTTCATTATAATTTGCAGGACTATTTTACTGCTTGAGAATCACTACCACTATCACTTCTTACTTTACTATTCTAGTCTTATTTTAGCTTACTTATATTTAGTTCCAGCAATGTATCATACTGTTATTGCTTTTCTAATAGGCACTGCATTTATTTTCAATGTGTGGCACAAGAATTTCCTTCTGGATTATTAACGTTCTATCTTATCTTATCTGTCTTGTGCTTGAGCATCAACAGTCCAATAATTTATCACCATCAGGATCTTCCAGCGCTGCACTTTTACTTTGAGCAGTGTTAGAGAGGTGTTGATATGTTTATTACTGAGGCTGTAGTAGGTGTTGGAGTGTATCAGGCTGCAGTATGCAGGGAGGTGTTTCTCACATTCGCACTTCCCTGAAAGCCCTCCCTCCCTCCCAGCTGTTCAGCGCCGCCCGTACTCACTTGATCTCCTTATTGATGGCCTCCAGCTGTTCCTGCAGCATGATGGCCAGGGTCTGCACGTCCGTCTGTCCGCTGGGCGACAGGAGCTCGGAGCCGAAGCGATGATCGCCATCGTCCTCGTCGTCGGAGCAGCCCACATCCATGCCCGGCTCGAACCCAGTCCCCAGCAGAGCCCCGCTCTCCCAGTCTGGGTACTGAACACAGGGACCAAGAAAAGACAACACAGTCACCTTCTGACACCATTCACTTATCATACATCTAGTTGTTAGCACGTTAGCCACGTGGCTTTAGGGCTGGCACTCGTCTCCACTTTGGCTTAGAGTGAATTATCTCAGCAACTTCTAGGTGCTAAAAAATTCTGTACAAACATTCCTGTTCCCCTGAGGATGAATTGCATCAACTCTGATTAACTGCGCTCCTCAGATCAAGATTTCAACATGTCCAATACTTTAATTTGTGTCCGAATGGTTTGATGGTGAAAGACAATGTTCCAAGAGTTTCTAATGCCCTCAGCCCGATGAAGCACAAAGATTCAGTGGATTAGAGTTGGTCTGAAATGTATGTTATCTTTAAAAAAGCACCAACATTATAAAATTGAACAAATCAAGTGTACGGTATGGTTTCATTGGGAAAAATAAACAAATCTAATCTTAAAAATAACATATTTATTCACAATCTCTTTATTCTGTCTCATTTGAAAATCTGGCAAAAACAAACAGTTTACACTAACAGGATCCTGTGAAAACCAAGAAATTCTGCTGTTCTCAGTGCAGCTGGGAAGCCAGGGATGAATCAGCTGTGACAAACAGTCACATGACAAGATTCAGTGTTTTTATGGCTGAACTGCAGGCTGTGTTTACACAGAGCAAAGAGGAGACGAGTATAGAAACAAACGAGAGACTGACAGGCTTCTCTAGTTGGTGCTCTGTGTAAACACAGCCTGCAGTTCATCCGAAAAATCCCTGAATTTTTCTCAGATGATTCCGTCACAGCTGAGTCAGTTACACAGAGGAGAGCAAAATGTTTTGTTCTTTACAGGATCTACTTCATGCCAATGGTTTATTTTTGGCACATTTTTGAACAAAACATGTAGAATAAAGTGATTTAGATTAAATATCATAATTTTAAGCTAAGATTAGGTTATTTTCGCAACAGAACTGCACATCACACACATTTAGAGCTCTAGGGCTGTCTAAAAACCTGTCAATTCACTCTAGCTGTATAGTTCGTGTCTCTGATTAATGGTGTAATTTTGGAATTTTTTTAAAGATAATTTGTCCTTGAAACCCTGGTGGCATTTTGAGTGGTTCAGGGTGTTAATTACAATAAGACTTTAAAACCTTCACATTGAACTATATTTGTGGCTTATGAGCAGCTTGTTGAACATACACACAAAATGCAGACATCTGCATCCAGAAACACCAGCGATGGGTTAAAGTATGCCTTTGGTGATTTTTTAAAAATCCTTTTCTCACAGTCAGTAAATTCCATGAGAAGACTAAACTAAGAAAAGCTCGAACCTACAAACAAGTACTGTCTGTGTATCTAAAATCAGATATTCCTCATACAGAGCTCCATTTTTGTCAAAAAACTATAAAAAATACATCACTGTGAGACATGTTTCTTGCTGCAAAATAAATTATATAGACATAATATTTATGTAGAAACAGCTGCACGAACTAATAATAGCGATCACTTTCAAATCTCTGCGGAGTAATTTCTGAAGTGATATCCCATCTTTTGTTTCAGGGCCAATACCAATTATTGATCATAAAGAAGACAAATCACCAATATTTAGGATAGATATACATTTGTACAAATTAAGCATCCTACAGAAAACGTGGCAAAAATCATATCTATTTAACCCAGAAACCCAACAGTAGGTTTGAAAAGCATGCTATCTTAAATAAAAATGGTAGAAATGCACCATTCAGCAGAGTTAGAAACTGTAAAAACAGAAAAGAATCTTTAGATTTTCAACTTTCAACGGTCCTTGAACTAAACATTCAGACTTGCTTAAGCTTAAAATTGTGATTTCTACATGTCACATTATCCATTTGGACTAAACAGATTCTATAAAAAACTAACAATTCTGCGCTTCTTGGCAAAACCATGTCGCCATTATTGGATCAGCTGCAACCAACAGTCATGCGACAAAAATTCTGAAAGTTGTTGGTTGAACTGCTGACTGTGTTAATATGGAGATAAATAAACGAAAAAAAATCCTCCAAACAAGTGAAGTCTGTAGAGCTCCACTCTTGTCCAACAGATATTAAAATGTTATTGTCTTTGCTACAAAATAACAAAATACAGGAACAATAATTTATGCAGAAACAGCTTTTATGCAGTCTAGAAACGATAAGTTTCAAATTTTGAGTAATTTTTAAGACGTGCAAGTAATTTCTGAGTCAAAGCCCACATTTCATTTCTCGGGGTGTTGGGGTCTCACCTTGGTGGAGTCCTCGCGGGCGGAGCTCCAGCGGGTCCAATGACTTCGCCTGACCACGCCCCCAGCGGAGGCGTTACTGAAGGGATCCAGGTGAGTGGTGGAGCCTGCTGGGAGGGACCCGCCTCCGTGGGAATACCTCAACTCCAGAGCGCTACCTGGCAGAGAGCGACTGCCGAGATAAAAGGACAGATGGTTGGAGAAAAGATGAAACGGTGATTATCCCTGACGGTACAACAAACATGTAGCAAACAAGGAGAGGAATTTAAACAGAGCTCAAAATGCCAAACCAGAAATGTGAAAATTAGAGATTAATATATGAAAAAAATCAATGTCACATCCAATCAAAAGAGCAAAGTGTGCGAGGAAACCTGGGAGCAGTGCAGCATATTCCCATTAACAGGTCTGCAGAAGGCTAAATTAGCAGCGTTGGATCACGCATCTGTTTGTGCAGTGAGCGTGTTCACATATCAACACAGCTTCAGCCTGTGCCGTGAGTGCTGACAGTGTTAAACGCCTCTGACGCGGAGAGATTTATCTACAATGCTTGACTAGATAAGAGACACAACGTTGGCACTTTTACAGTCGGGCAAGGCCACACAGGAGACTGAAAATAACGCCGGGAGTCGGGCTCTTCCGGCGGTGCTGAAGTCTAAATGGCACCAACCTGGAATAGGAGCCCCCGGGCCTCGCTCTCAGCTGATCCAACTCCAGCTGAATCCTCTCCAGCTCCGCTATCAGCTGGTCCTGGACGTGGAAAAAAAAAAGAAAAAAAAAAGGAAAAAGACAAGAGCGGGTGAAAATAAATGAACATATGTCTGCTGCCTTCAGAGAGGAATGAAGCCTGGAGGTGCGGTCACCTTGTTTGCCAATAGATCATCCTGGAGTTTCTTCATGTTCGACAGCTCCTCAGATAGAGCGTTCTGCAGAGAGACCATGAGAAGTTTTATTATTGTAAAATAACAGAACTGTGAGATGTGTTCGAGCTCCACGCCGAGGTTAGGACACTCATCATGTCAAACTCTACACGCAAGGATGGGTAAACCTGATGAACCCTGAGCTATTTCCAGGGTGATTTCATCGCCTTTACTTTAGCCACACATGTTCTATCTTGTTTGTTCTATTCATCCACAACAGTCTCAGTTGTTCTGCCATCAACCGATCTGATAAACCTTGCAGATCAGGCTTTATATGAAGAAAAGAGAGACATATTATGAAATTGCTGTATTTTTTACATGTATCTCAGCATTAAATTCTGGCAGCAGAGATACACTTTCATACTTGTGTAGGAGGGATTGTCTGGAATCTGGCAACATCAGAACCAAGATGGTGGGATATTGTATGACTTAGAAATTGGAGAGTAAAAAAAACAAAAAAAAACAGCTGTCATTATTTTATTCAAGTGTGCACGTACTTGCAGAGGTGGCAAAGCAGGCAAATGTTTGCAAATATCAGCCTTATGGTAGAAAATCTGCAGAAAGTAGCTGTGATTTCAAAACTGAACAATTTGTTACAAAGAAAAACAAGTTGTACCTTTGAAAAGGGTGAGTTCTGTAGTTGATTTTGACATGTGCTACGTTGTGAAATAAGAGGGACTTTGGGATTTATTCAACCAGAAGCAGGAGTGTAAAAATGGAATGGAATACTTTGGGAAAATTTGATTTCTCTTCATATTATTATTAATGAAGTATATCCAAATAGGTGACAACAGCATCATTCCAAAGCTCAGGTTTCGCTTTTGCTTTTGATATACTCCACATTTTTGCATTTTTGAGTTCATGTGTCAGTCAAACAAGAGCGGCCGGCATGGAGACAGAAGCAGAGCTGTAGCTATCAAAGAGAAAATGGGAAGAAAGCGCAAATCAAGGGCGCAAAAGAAAGTAGATTAAAAATACTAAACTGTAGCTGGATGCTTTACCCAAGTTTTACTCTATTTTCTACAGTGGGATGGATTTTTGTATTTATAAAAGAACACAAAACCCAAAAGAGACGCAAAAGCGACCTGATGTTGATGAATTCATTTGGCTCTGTAGCATTTGGGGATCTGCTCAAGTTTAAACCGGTCGCCTGCTGCAGGGCAGAGGACTGAGCCAACAAACCCGACACTTTGAGCAAAAGGGTCAAATTTTTATGGTCTCATTTTAGGGAGAGGATGGAGTATTCTTCACAGCAGTCTACAAGGTTTGGATGAAGTTGGGGTTCGTTTTGCTTTGGTCACCTTTTCCTCCAGAGCTGCCATCCTCTCCTTCAGATGGAGCTGCAGCCTCTCGTTGGACTCAGACAGCAGCTTGTCCACAGTGTCGGAGAGACGCTTGTTGTGTTCGTCGTTCATCCTCTCCCTCTGCCTCGCCTGAGGGGGAGAGGGAGATTAAAAAAAAATAAAAAAAAAAGTCAGGAGAGGAGGGAGGAGAGTTATTGGCAAGCATTCTGCTCGACTGAGAGACAAAGATTCCTATCTGAGTGTGCAACAGTCAAATAGAGGGTTTAGAAAATTAGTGCGCCTTTGTGCGGCGTAAAGACCTGACAAAAGGGAAGAGAGAAGGGAGATGGGAAAAGTGAGCGTGACTCACCCTCTGGAGCTCCTGGTTCTTCTCCTCCAGTTGCGCCTCCATCTGTCGCAGTCGCTCCTCAAAGTTGCCATGACGCTCCTCCGCCTGAGTGATCGCAGAGGAAGCAGGGTTAGAGCGTGAGCCGCGTCGCAACGCTGACACAAATTAACACAAAAGGAAACAGCTTGTTGACCGACTCTACCAATTAGTTACATGCCTGTACAGATCAGAGAGCGACGGGGGAAGTTTGTTTGCCTGTTTCTTACAGGGCATTAATCTTGTGCATCCACAGAAGCCGCCCTGCCCCGACATGCAACTAGAAACTGAAGCCATTTAGGAGGTTTGAGTGCAACTTCTGTTGGCATGAGGGGGAAACTGTGTTCACTGTAGGTTGACAAATGCGCAATTAAATGGGATGGGGTGAGCATCGCAAATTGGCAGGCTGCGGTGTGTGGCATTGGTTCTTGCAACATACTTGCTTCCACACAAATAAACATTAAATAAATAAATCAGACAATTATAAAGTATTTGTGCGGTGTACAGTTCTCGACGTGTTGAGTGCCAGGGGATCAAACAGCACTGAGCCGGCTTTCATCTCAGATTGTTTGCTTATGAGTTGCTTGCACGGCCTGGTAAAATATTTGATGTTCATCTGTGATTTGACGTGTTGCCATTAGGTCATGCATGAATGCACACAGACTCACGCTTGCTTGTATGTTCATGCTTGCACCTGCCTGCAAACCTGCATACGTGCAAGTGTGTCTCTGCACAGGACATGCATGTAATATTCTAATTTTGTTTCATTACACCGAGCTGAATGGGGATAAATAAAGGTCTGTGAAAGCAGCAGCAGCAGCAGCGATGGTCGTGTGTGATCAGCTGATAAAGACGCACCTTGTTGAGCGCCGCCACTCTCTGGGCGAGCTGGGCTTCGATCTCCGGCAGCGTCTCGGCCCTCTGCAGGGTCTGCTGCAGCTTCTGCTTGGCATCATCCAGACGCTCCTGAAGCTGCCGGTTTTTCTCTTCGCTCTGCAGGATGACAGGGAGTGGAGGTGAAACTCGGAGCACGAGGGAAGATTGCCGAGGGCAGCAGGCATGATTAAAGCCACCGGCATGGGGAAGGGGGGTGGGAGGGAAAAAAATGCACTGATGGCACGCTCTCTGTGCCAAAGTGGAACGTGGCCAAGCTGCCAATCAGCAGCAGGAACATGGACACACACGGGGATGAAAGAGTCGTTTCCCACCTGTCTGTAGAGGGACTCCTTGCTGGCCAACTCGTTTTCCAGTTTGTCTTTTATGTCGTGGAGAGACGTCGCCTCCCTCTGGGCGCTCAGGTACCTGCAGACACGACGGCAGACAGATGGAGCGGTGAGGGGAGAGCGATTTGGAAAGAATCACTGAGAGTTCATGGAGGGGTGGAAGAACAAGAAAACACAAACCTGCGTTCTAATGTGGTGATTCTCTCTTCCATGTCTTCCCTTTGACAGAGCGCCTGGGAGAATTAGGAAGAAGAAGAAGAAAAAAACTGCATGTGAAGACTGTGAAGCAGACACAGAAAGGAGCAGACGGAGAAAGCAGCAGAGGGCAAATGTTAAGTTTACAAGTAGGTGTTGTTCAAAAGGAATTCACGGAGCTTGAACTGCTGTTATCTGAAGAATGATAATGACTGTTTAATTGTTGTTGTTGACAGATCTCAGAAGCACCACTTATGGAGTTGCACAAGACAGAGAGAGAGAGAGAGAGAGATGGGAGGGGGGGAGGCACAGGGGTGAGGAGAAGCCGCTCAGAGGGGTGAGGACACACGAGAAGAGGTTCGCTGAGTAAACTGGCTCGACCGCCTCTCGTCCCAAAATGCTCCGCAGGCCTTTCAATCAGCTGCCAGCTACTGATTAACATCCCTGCACAGAAAAAAAAAACAAAAAAAAAACACGCCTGCAGCTCCACAGATGACACCGTCACCATGGCGACAGGGCTGAGGCTGGTTTGCGGCCGCCGCTGCCAAGTCGGCTTTGTTACCATAGCAAACTGTTACATATCTTCTGAGCAGAATAAACTCGTCGTGCCACTGTGACGGACACGTCGAGTTCCTCACCTCCTTCACGTCCCTCTGTAGCTTTTGGTTGGTCTCTTCCGACCGGGCGAGCTCCCGCCGGGCCGACGTCAGCTGCTCCTCGATCTCCCCGACCTGATGGGGAGGGATGAGGAGAGAGGGCATCAGTTTTGCTCTGTTTGGTTGGTTTTGGTGAAAACATCCGACCATGAAAGCAGATCTGAATCCGGTACCTGTCTGCACATGAGGGCCAGTCGCTCCTTGAGCTGCCCCAGCTCTGACCTCTGCCGCTCAATCTCACCTTCCCGCTGCCGGTCGATCTCACCATCGTCCAAGATGGAGGAAGGGCCGTTGGGAAGCCGCTGAAAGAAAAGAGAATGCATAGTGATAAAGTTTGGATCAGGGGTTTGTGGTGACTGAAATTCCTGAAGAAATTAAACTAAAATATAACATATTCCTAACAATCTGATTTGATTTCACTTTAATATCAGAACATTTTTTCTAAAATTTGTCTTGTGCTTCAAGACAATTTCACATAAAATAAATGGTCGCTCCATTTAAAATTATGACATTAGTGGAACAAATTCTGCTCAAACATCTCTAATTTTTTACAGTGTGAAACTGTGCTGTTTGTATGAAGATATGTGTGAAATTTTAGCTTGATATACCAAATACTTTTCAGTTTTGTAAATTTGCCAGTAGATCCATTTGTAGCACATTTTTTCGCAAACTGAAATCGGAGGCTGTTTGAATGACATTATCTCAGGAACTATTCAAGATAAACGCCTGAAGTTTACACGGTTATTTTTCATCATTTCATTGATTCAGAGTCTGCAATATTGAAAAAGTGACAAAGGGTATATAATAAGGATAATAACAATAATGATGATGATAATAATAATAATAATAATAATAATAATAATAATAATAATAATAAATAAATAAAAATACATATTCATATAAAAATAGACTAAATGCGTCTACAAATGATTCAGAAAACATCACCAGTTTACGTCTTCATTACTAATGTGTTTGTTAATGTGAGCTCAAAGATGTGGCTTTTCATGATGCTTCCATTTGTTTTCATATTTCAACTCAACAGTAATCATAAATGATTTGATGTACTCATTCAGTGTTGCATTCTGAATCAATGACATGATGAGAAACAACAGTGAAAACTTCAGGCTTTTATCTTTAATAATTCCTCAGATGTTGTCGCTCGAACAGCCTCAAAATGTTATGTGCAAAAAAACTTGGAAAGTACCAAATATATTGATGTAAAATTTTCACATATACCACTTGAAATATCCAGAGTTTATGATTAAAAAGCTTCCATCAAATCGAACAAGATCAAGCAGAGAGTTTAAGATGGAATAAAAATGTATTGCACACAATGATCTAATATTCTGAAAGATAAACCTTCTCTATGTGGTTAGTAATTTAAGCAAATTAAGCTGTTAATACTTTAAAGTGTAGAACTTTTCTGCCAGAAAAATTCTCACTTAGGGGTAATTCAGTGTAGAGTAGTGTTGCTACTTTTGTTTAAGTGAAGGATCTGACTACTTTTAAGGACGTAGTATTGACAATATAATGCTTTACGTTTGACTTTTTGATTATCTATCTTTGACTATCAGCGACTTCTTTGACATGGAGTCAGTTAGTTTGGAGAAGACTCTGAGTAAACGTACAGTAAATGTTGAAAAAATTAGACTAGCATGTCACCAAAAGTAATGGATTTATGTAGGAAGGCTGTTGTAGCTGATGTAGCACTTCTCTCCTTGTAAAAGTAACGCAGGCTCTTGTCTGAACATTAAGAATTTGGTCAGATGAGAGCGTATCGACCAACCAGTCGACCTGGAGGCTGCAGCGTTGACCCATCTGGAGAAAACACTTTGGCAGGTGGATGTAAAAGCAACAGAAACTCTCACTGATTGCAGCAAGTTTCCATTTGAGTCAATACAGTTTGTAAAAATAGAAAATGCTGCACAACTTCTGTCTCACTGAATAATTTGAGTGCTGCTAAACAGGAGCGAGTTCAGTCCTGTGACTGATGGCTGGAAGCCACATGGCAGCAACAGCGATCTAAGAAAATACCATATACACACTATTAGAAGAGCTGCAGCAGCTTCTGGCACCTGATCCAGCTGCTGATCGAGGAGGGAATTATGCAGCATTTTGGTTATTACATGAGATGCGCTGACTTGAAATGGAAAGCACCCAACCTTTCATCGAAGTGAATTGGGTTTTTAGTTGGTCTGTCCACACCAAAACTAAAATATGTCAACAACTATGGAGGGATTCTGATGATTGTTTTATATGTTTGGCACCAAAGGATGAAATGCTATCAGTGATCCTGTTACTTTTCCATTAATTTCATTTATTTTATTGAGTAATATATCTTGACAGCTGTTGGGGTGGATTGTTATAATATCCGGCACTTTGCTGATTGACTCTCTTTTTGTTTTGTCCATCATCAGCTCTGGAACATGACTGGAACATGTTGGCATGCTAACACCCTGAACTCAGACGCAGGTGATTTTCAGGTTTCTTCTGCTGATGACAGCAGACTTTTATGGATCGGAATGGATGTCAGAACAGTAACCATGTGGGAAAACTGTGATTGGTTTTCAGCTTCTTCTTCTATGTTTCTGGAAACTGCACATGGAATTACCTCCTTGCCGTTGTCTAGTCCCTGCTGCCGCCGTTTGATTTGCTCCCTTAAAGACACGACCTGAAACAGAGTAGAACCATCAAAGAGACTCCGTGATTCCGTTTCCAAGCTGCAGAAAAAGCAAACAGAAACAGGAACTGACCTCCTGAGAGGACGACTGCAGCTCCTCCTCCAGCACCGCCACCCTCTCCAGAGCCACCCGGAGCCTCTCCCGCACCTTCTCGTCCAGGGCTTTGTGGTGCTCGAACAGCGACTTGAGGGCTTTGAGGACCTCCACCTCGCTGGAGACGCCGGCCGGGGACTGGGCCTGCCGCTTCACCACCGTCATCCTCAGGCTGCGCTCGTGGCGGGACACCAGGCACTCCAGATGTTCGAGCAGCAGCTGGAAACACATGTGGTTCACATACAGTGAGACCGACGGAGCGCTTGATGCGTCTCAGATGATTTTGCTCATGTGAAAAGCCTTTCAGAACAGATAGAGCGGCATGCCAGAACGAGAGCAGAGCAGAATGCTGAACAGACGTGAGAGTGTACTGACTCGTGTGTTGTTCCTCTCTGCCTTCAGCTCTGCGATCTCCTCCTCTCTCTCCAGCAGCTGCTCCCGGCAGAGGTTCAGCTCTTTGGTCAGTACTGCAAACTCCTGCAGGGTCACAAGAGGGAGCTGTTATTGACTGAGAGCTGCTGCATGAGGTCACTAGTGCAGCTCATCCAAAGTGGAGCTGCAGCATCAAAGCTATACAGACAGAGAATATTTACATTTTTTCTGTTTCTGAAGCTGCATATTTGTTTTGCAAATATGAAGCCACAAAATATAAAGTTTGTCACCAGTTTCCACGATAGCAAGACTGACAATGTCTCAGCTGGAGGTTTTCTTCTTCTAACACTGGCCAGTTATCCCCAAAATTAGAAACACACATCAACAAAACATAAAAGCAAACAAAAAGTCATTGGCGCTCCATATTTTCCATCACCTCACTACAGACGGATCCTGACTTCATGTGAAAACTCAGAATGTAAACGCATTAATCAAATACACGTATGCACAAAAACGCAGCAACATTTTGGGGATTTCTTTCATTTTGCACAACATTTTCAGATCAGTGCAAACATTGGGTTTAAGTGATTGGTTGTACAGGTGGAGGAATCAGTAAACATTTTATCTTCTGGCTGCTCAGCTTTGAATTTCTACTGTTATTAAAAACATTTTAATTCCTATTATTGCTTTTTAAATGGATTTTTTTCCTTGTATGGCTGCTAAATGTTGGCTGAAATGTCACAATATTGAGAACGTTCTTAGCAAACTCCATGTTAACTCGACCAACAATGTCTCAGATGGATGTTACTTCTTAGAACTTTGGCCAGTTTTCCCCAAAAAAATAAGAAACACACATCAACAAAACTTAAAAGCAAACCAAAGGATATTTTGTAATAACCTCATACAGTGCAGTTAACTAAAGACAGATCTTGATTTCATTAGAAAACATTCATTCACATAATTTAAATGCACTAAACAAATACATGCATGCACAACAATCCAGCTAAGTTTTGTGGATTTCTTTTATTTCCCACAGTGCTTTCAGATCAGTGCATAGACTTGGTTTATTAGGTTCGATTGTACAGGTGGAAGAACCCTTAAAAAGCAAGCAGAAGAAGGAAGGTTTCACATTTGGTCATCTGGCCTTTTTTTTCCCCTGCAATTGCTCCTTTAATGTATTGTTTTTTTCTGCATGGGTGTGAAATGTTGGCTAAACGTGACTAAAACCAACAAAAATGTCAAGATTACTGAAAGGTTTACTACCAAACTCTACGTTAACTAGACTGAAAATGTCTCAGCAGGATGTAACCTCTACCAACTTGGGCCAGTTTCCCCCCAAAATATAAGAAACACACATCACAAAGCTTAAAAGCAAACAAAAAGAATCTGGGCTGTAACATTTACAGTCCATATTTTCCATCACCTCACACAGTGCAGTTAACTAAAGACAGATCATGACTTCATCACAAAAATCACACATTCATTCACAGAATTTAAACATGTGCGCATGAAAAGAAGCCTTTACTTTCCCACATTCTCTGCAGGAGGCTGCCTCAACTTTCATTTGTTTCCCACAGATCACCCTAAATGTGGTTCAAGTCGTTGGTTATACAGGTGCAGGGATCAGCAACAAGCAAGCAGGGGAGGGAAAGGTTCACATTTTATATCTTAGCTTTGAATCTGTACTGTTGGTCAAATGTTTTTATTCCTGCAGTTGCTGCTTTAATTATTTTTACCTGCATGGATATGAAATGTTGGCTGGATGAGCCTTCATGTTACCTCCTTTACCTTTAGCCAGTTATCCTAAATAATAAAAAACTAGTTTGAAGGAGTCCAGACTGTGAAGTTTACTGCCAGGTTTTTCATTTCAAACACTGCAGTCAGACAAATCTTGATTTCATTAACATGATGGAACATTTAATCTAACAGAATTTAACTGCATAAAGCGCACACATATCTGCACTTTTTTTCCCAACAAGGCTTCACCTCCCATTGAAGATTTGCCTTATTTTACAATCTAAGTTCAGCAGAGGGGTAAAAGTTGCAGAAAAGACACAATATTTTAATGCTGCTCTTCACTGATATTTTGCTGTTTCAATGGATTTGTCCCCTCGTGATGGATACATTTAAACCACAAAGAACGCAAACAAGCAAATAAAAATGTTGTTGCCGAACTCAACAGCAACTTAACTGGAGATATCTCAGCATGATGTTACAACTTTGGCAGAAAGATGACCTCAAACTGTGAGGTTTTACTGCAACAATTGTCCAATACGACATTGCAATTAATTTATTAGGAACTGCTTCACAGAATTTAACAACATTAAATGCACAACTATATGCACAAAAACTGGACATGAAGTTTTATACTTTCCCACTTTTCCTAAAGCTGCCATGTCTGATTCAGCTTTTATTGCATTATTTCCTGCAGAAAACTGTCAGAAAGCAGCAAAATATTCAGTTCAGCTGGTTGGTTTCACAATCCAACATCCACAGACAAGTGAATGTCTCCAGAAAAACTATAACTCAACATGTTGACGCTATTTTGATTTCTACTGGTGCTGTTTCAGTGGATGTCTGCCCTCATGACGGATAAATGTCGAGTAAGAGGGACTAAAACTAGCAAAACTTTGTTAGCAGACTTGACTAAAAACATCTCAGCAGGACGTAACCTTTTTCTAACGTTGGCCAGAGAAACATCCATCCATTATCTATACACCGCTTAATCCTCATTAGGGTCGCGGGGGGCTGGAGCCTATCCCAGCTGACTTAGGGTGAAGGCAGGGGACACCCTGGACAGATCACCAGTCTATCACAGGGCTACACTTAGAGACAGACAACCAAGCACACTCACATTCACACCTACGGACAATTTAGAATCACCAATTAACCTCAACATGTTTTTGGACTTTGTGGGAGGAAGCCGAAGAACCCGGAGAGAACCCACACTGCACGGGGAGAACATGCAAACTCCATGGATGTCCTCACCAGGACACAAACTGGCGACCTTCTTGCTGTGATGCAACAATGCTAACCACCACTTCACCTTGCTGCCCCCCAGAGAAACATGCAGCGCTAAAAACCTACAGCAAGTTTTCCTGCAGTTTTCTTTTGAACCCACAGAGCAATTAACTACAGTGAACAATCTGACGGATCTTGATTTCATTAGCAAACTCATACATTTAATCTGGAAGAATTTAGCAATAAGTGCACAGACATGTGCACATAAATGCAAAATGAAGTCTTGCACTTTTTCAGTTTTCTCTAAAAGTGCCATGTCTGCTTTAGCTTTCATTCAGGATTCACTTCATTTCCAATCATTCCTGTAGATAACTATTAAAGAGCAGGCAGACATTCAGTATAACTGGTTGGTTTAGCAGTCCAATGTCCACAGGGGAGTGGTAGGGAAGGTTTCCTGAAAAAGTATAACTCAGGATGTCAGTGCTGCTTCTATTGGTGCTGTTTCAGTGGATTTCTCCTTTCATGATGGACAAATGTCAAATAAAACTACCAAATAATTCCATAATTGCTGCAAATTTTGTTAGCAGACTCCACCAGAAGCATCTCAGCGTGACGTAAGCTTTTTGGCCAGTTATCCCCGACAACAAGAAGCATGCAGCGTCAAAAACCTCCACCGCGTTTTACTGCACTTTACTGTGAACCCACAGAGCAATTAACTACAGTGAACAACCTGACAAATCTTGATTTCATTAGCAAACTGAGACTTTTGGCCTCGCAGGATTTCAGAACATGAAAGAAATCTGCACAGAAATGCAGCAGGAGCTTACCCTCTAAAAAAAAAAGGCGTCTAATCTTTGCCATATCTACCGCAGCGCTCCTGGAGTCCAGGAGCCTCAAAAACCCAGGCCTCTATATAAAATCTAACAACCATGTTTATGGCTCGCGCTGCACCTGAAATTGCATTTAATTGCACAACGAGCAGAGCCGTCGTTAAATCCTGGAGGTTAAACAAGCACGAGAGCGACAGGGATGAGGTCAGCACCGTGTAATGTCTTTTATTTCCAACTGACAGCAGTCCAGTGGAATTGTTGTGATTTTGTGTAATTTACTCCAATTATGTGTAATTGTGAGGTGAGCTACATGATAGTTTCAATTAAAATCTGTTGCCTTTAGTGTAACTAAGCGGTATCTATGGCAACAAATCAACAAAGAGAGCCATTAACTTTCTGCTTTTTGTGTGTCTGTGTGTGTGTTTCTGTGATCACACACACGACTCCAGCGTGATCGTGGCGTGATGCGCGCATGATCCGGAGCACGTGAGCGCCGAATCATGTGTGTTTTTCTGAAAAACTCTTATGCAAAGGAGGCACCGATGCGTGCACGCCGCTGCTGTTATCTCTGACTCGTGTTAACAGCGATCAGTTTACCCACACGGCAGCAAACAGGCGCCTCACCTCACACACCTCTTCCAGCCAAAATGCATTTAAAAAAAAAAAAAGAAAAGGACAGCGTGTACAGTCAAGCCTCCGAGCTGAAACTGGGAGGAGGAATCGGAGGGTTGAAAGGAGGAAGAGGCCGGTTTTGTGAAGATGGAAGAGGAAGGATGAGGGAGGAAATTGCTGCGTGCAGATGGCACCGAGAATATCATAATTCTGGGATTATTCATGTAAAAAGATGGACCGCTGATGGTTTTTCCTGCACTTTTTCCTCCATCTGAATCTCCCCCTGTCATGATACGCAACATCTAAAACAGACTCTAGAAGCCACCTTATTAGTATGCAGCAATATGCAAATGGACTTGATTTGTTAGTCTCTGTGTGTTTCATGTCACCAGTTTTTTCTTTTTTCTTCTTTCCTCTCTGTGCCATGCTGTCGCTGCCTCCATCCCTCTCTCTCTCTCTATTTTTCTCTCTTGGCAACACACACAGACAAACTCGGTGAACTCATCCACTGTAGACTGTATCGCGCGGATCCATGTGTTCCTCTGTCGGTGTGTGTGCCTTTTCTGCAGATGTGTGCGCCATATTGATCTCCTCTCGGTGAGCTAATGTGGCCCTTTAACGTCCAGTCGCTCCCCCCCCCACCCCACCCCCCCTGTTAGAACCGCTACATCTGTTATTTCATTTTGATATTTCAGGCGTAGCGACGGAGAAAAATAACAATGAGGGAGGCATCATCGAGGCCCGAGGCGACCAACAATGACTCCTGCCTGAAAATAGAGATGGAGCCCTTCTGTATTGAGTGGAATTACAACATGATTAGCTCTCAGGCGCTGGGATGTGGGATAATATTGGCTTCTGTGCTACAGGAGCAAATGTGACATTCTGCCATCATCTCTGGGCTTCAGGTAGCTCCAGTTTGTGCCTCACGTGTATTAACGTTGCATTTGAAAAATCCCAGAAGGTCATGGAACACTGGCTTCAGCTTTCATTGATGATTTGTTTAATTTCCAAGAATCCTTTTAGAAGATCACCAGAAAGCAGCAAATATTTGGTTTAGCTGATCAGCTGAGGAGTAAAAGCGCCACAAAATGCACATTTAAGCTGCTATGGATATTTTTTTTCATGATGAATAGCTGTCAACTATGAGGAACCAAAACAAACAAGCAAATCATTTCAATAATTGCTAAAAAATTGTGACCAAATTCCGTGGAAACTTCACGAGAAATATCTCAGCATGACGTGTATTTGTCAAACGCTGGCGCAAATACTTTTTTAAAACCCTCTGGATTAGAAAATATTCTGTTTTAAAAAGATTTTCAACAGTTTTTCCAGTTTTCCAATCCAAACAGAAATGGTTGCTAAACATGCACGACGGGAACCAAAACTGCCAAGACTATCACTGGGATCAAAGACTTGCTCTAGTTTTCAATACTTTCTATTTTTAGACAGAAGAATTTGTGTGAGTTTTTTTTCGGTGCAATAGACAAAATATTGGTTCATTCAGATCTTTAAAGGAGTTTTAATCAATTCTGTGCATGACAAATGTCTATTCTGCTCATCAGACTTAAAGGGTTTGCAAAGATTACATGAAGGTCTTTTCTTTAGCTCTGTGACGATTGCAAATACAAAGGTGGTACATACTGAAGCAAGCGGCTAGTCAGCTTCTATTGACGAGCACAAACAACTACTAACATATTATTTACTGAATGACGCTTCAATCATCAAGCATCATTAACTAAAACTTAGACGCAACAGTTAAGTGAGTATTTTAGAAGATCTTTTTTCCACAGTTAGTTTGCAAAGTAAACTCTCACATTGAACATGTGATGAGCTCATAAAACATCTTTGTTCCAAGTCATAATTGTACATTTCTCTCCTGGTTTCAGCTTCAGGATGATTATTGATTTGAATCAACTTCATATTTTCTGGATCGATCAGTGAATCTTTTGGTCTGTATGTTTGAAAACAGTGTTCTAATAGAATTACTTACGTATTTGCCTTTATTTAGGATAGAAGCAGTAGAAATAGACAGAAGAAATGGAGGGAAACAACCTGAACTTAGTGCCACAGCATTGGAGATAGCGTTAAATACATCTCACATTGCAATTGTGATTTCAAACAACGCAATTAGCAAATCACAAAGTCGGCAATTTAAGATATACGTTGTGTTGCGTGTCTGGCCGAGTTTGTCGAGTCAGTGGTTTTACAAATTCATGCCGTCCTCCTTGTGTGAAGCACATTTTGATAGTATCTCATGTGATAATGTTCCGTCGCATGTTTTAAATGTAGTACACGGCAAATACTGAATTGAAGATTGACTTTAAAAAAATCAAATTGCAATATCTGTTAGGAGAATCTCAATATACAGATATTTTCTCTGAATCACACAGCCCTTACTGCAGCCATATAGAATCTATCTGGTTGCCCCAGAAAATTATTCTTAAATGGGCTCTACAACATCTGTGAAGCTAAGACAGTTTGTGCAAATGCCTTTTGCTGTCAAACTGACCATCAGAAATTCAAAGATTGTCTTTTTTCTATCAGAGAAGATGAAGAAAACACGTAAATATATGCTTTTAAGAAACTTCTATCAGTGACTGCTTTTGCTTAAAGTCTCTCTCTGGTTATTGATGAAACCCCAAAAAACTCATCTCTGCTCATCACAGTTGCATGTTCAGAAGTTTCTTCAATGAATACAACCCTTTCCTGTCTTAAAATGGCTTAACTGTAGCTCTAGACTGTTACTTCCTCTTGAATGTGCAGATCTATGAAGTCCCAGCTTCCATCTGCAGCTCGAGCACACCAGCTCACCGACAACTCAAACGCCGTCAAACTACTGTGTGCTTCACAATGCTACATGGTAATATTGGACTAATTCAGCCACACATGTTCAAACCGAAAAATAAAACTCGAGTATCTAAATTCTGTCTGTTGACTAATTGATTTATGAACCGGCATGCTCTGGTGTGACGTATATAAAGTTAGACAGAAGTGCGTTTTCTCTCAGCCGATCAACAGAACCGTTGAGGTCTTCGTCCGGGCTGCTGCAGTTTAAACGCCCCCAACAGGACGGTAAAGCAGCTCGACTCAGCGCCACCTGGACCGGCTGCAACATTAAAATCCTGCTTACAGGTTCACACATCAATAATTCAACACTGTAAAAGGAACCATTTTCACTGAGAGGACTTTTGTTACAAGAGTACCTTCTACTGATAACAACTGTTTACTTTGACGGCGGTCTGATTTCGAACGCAGTGCTTCCACATGTAACGCTGTCCATTTTCAGCATGTTTTCACACATTTAAGCACCTTGAATTTCAAATAGCTTAGCTTCCTACTTTTATCAGCACGAAAGTTCATTTAAAATGTGCACAACAAAGGATTACTTGAGATATCAAAAGGTCATTTTTTTTACGACTATATTATTTGTGTGCGTTTACTGTCTGATGTTCAGTGGACTTGGCTGTCACTGCTCACAAGGATAAAGTCACGCTGATATTTTGTTGGTGCTGCACATAAGAGTTTTCAGCAAAGTATTTCCTTCGTTTTTTGTTTTTTGTGGTTGCACATACCTCAAACTACACATATTGATCTTTGTACTCACTGAAATCAGCGTATAAAACTACAAAACTTACAACAAAATGGCGCCATTATTTGCATTTCTTTGATCTCAACAGTCTCCCAAATTATTAAAGTGAAGTCTAATTGGCTAATAGTATTTTTCCTGCTCTGGCAAATACAAAAAAATCTAAAGATGCTGGCACTGTGGGTCCAAGAATAAAGAAATATATATTGTAACCTTCTGACACCAGAAATATGTGTGAGAATAATGTAAATATTGCACGTCTTGTTCCATAATATTCTGCATTTAGCTACGAAACTCACTAAAAAGCAGACGAGCTGTGAGCAGATTGAGTGAACTTTTCCTTTAGTCAAAGTTATAATTTGGGAAGCACATATGTTGTTGTTTAAGCACTTTTTGTGACAGTAGAAACCCTCCTTTATTCACGCCTTTAATCTGAACTATTTCACTTTCACTCGCTGAACGTTGAGCAGTTTCTGTTTTTGCTCCTTTTTCCTCACTGTGGCCTCATTTTTCACTGCAATATAAAGTCCTGCACCTTTATGGAAACAACACAACCATGATTAGACAGAGAGAGAATTACAAAAATATCTTCTGTGCAGTATGACACTGTCTTAATGCCATAAATCGTATTAAAGAAAGTTTTGTTTGATTATTTATTTAATGAAAATTGAAAAAAAAACAAAAAACCTACATGTGCAATATTTTCCATCCATTTTTATCTGTTACCAGTACTGGGGGGAAAAATTGTCAATCAATATGATAGATATTTTACGACTATTTTTTGAATTTGTAACATGTTTCCGGTCCTCTCTGTGAAAACACTGCCTGCAGTTCAGCCCAGTTGAGCCAACAAGTCTCAAAATGTTTGTCATGTAACTGTTGTTCACAGCTGAGTCACGAACAGCGTCAAAGTTGCACCAAAGAGGGCAGAATTTTTAGTTGTTTTTTTTTTTTACAGGATCTGGTTATCGCAACTTTTGACAAATGTAATATTTAGTAGAAAGAACTCTGACTATCTTTTTCTTTAACACACTGATAATGGCACAAATCAAACTGCAGAAAAAGCAAAAATGTGAGTTTCTTTGATTATTTACTTTGTAAAAACTGAATAAACCTGGAATCAACATGTACAACATTATTTCAAGTGACCAATGCTCTTATCAATACTGGAGGAACTTTGACTCCACATACTACAGATACTTTCACGATTTGTATTTTTAAGTTATTCCCATAGCATTCTACTGGACTAAATACTTAGTCCTGTCTGTTTTGTGTAAACACAGCCTGCAGTTCAGCCCAGTTTGTTGTAGCTGAGTCATCTGTCTTCCATTAAGGCACACAGATTTTTTTTGTTATATACAGAATCTAGTGAGAACAAACTGTTCATTTTAGGGGATTTTTTAGGTGTAGAATAAAGTGAGTTTGATGGAATGTCATGATTTTAAGCTTAGATTAGGTTCAGCTGTCCAGCACAGATGATACACAGCTTCTAGCTCTGATAAATGGTTTAAATTAGTTGATTCTTCAAACCTTTTCAACCTTTCTGGTTTCAGAGGGTTCAGTAGCCTCTTAACATACAAAATGAGGCAGATTTTTTTCCCCCTGAGTTGGATCTGTGTGTCTAAACCAGCTCTGTGTGACCCTGTAAACCCTCTCAGGTGGGTCGGCAGCTCCCGGCCCACCTGAGCGTCCCGAGTACCTGCGGCAGGGCGATGGACAGCTGCCTCTGGAGCGACTCCTTCTCATGGCCAAGCTCTCGTAGGCGGAGGTGCGCCGTCCCCAGACTGTCCTGCGTCTCCCTCAGGCTCTCCAGCAGCCTCTCCCTCTCCGTCAGCATGTTCACCATCAGCGACTCCAGGTTCCCCGTGCTTCCTCCTTCATCTCCGCCTCCACCTCCTCCTCCGCGAGGGTCCCGGCTGCCGTAGCCACCCATGCCTCCCATCCCGCCGCCCATCCCTCCTCCTCCACCGCCCGCCGGTGAGGACGAGCCGCCGCCTCCTCCTCCTCCACGCCCGTCTTCCGAGATGGTGGGCATCACCTCGCACATCATCTTGAGGCCCGGATCTGAGACTTAGGAACGATGAAAGCTTCTGCTTGTTGTGGAGGTTTACTCTCAGTGTCGTTGTGGGGGGAAGGTGGGTTTGTGAGTGAGAGAAAAGTGGGGAGACGGTGGAGGGTGGCAGGGAGGGGGAAAAGGGGTGAGGTGGGGTGCAGGGGTGAGGAGGGAGAAGTGCAGGTTTGACCTCTGACCCCCGGGCCCAGGATTCACTGAGCTGCCACAAGAACCTGGACACAGACACAAAAAAAAAGAAAGCAAAAGATGACTTTCTAGAAGCTGGAGGCCACATCATGTAGGAATGTGTTTCCAGACAGGTTCTGATCCATCCCATAACCACCCTGATGGAGCCACATCCAGACACACACAAACCAAACATACACCTTTTTTTGTGCGTTTTTTCCCCCCCAGAAAACCCTCCCAGAGAGCCGTTGCAGCACCACTGTCTCCCTCTCTCTCACTGACTTTGCATCGCTGGAGTAATTCATCCATCTGTGCATGTCTCGGCTTTATGTATCCCATAATGCTAATAATGAATGCGCATGATGCACGGAAATGGACGGTGGCTTCTTTCACCCAACAAAACGCCAAATCCAGAACCAGCAGCATCAGGCCTGGAGGTGAGGAGAAAAGATGCGGCGCTGTTTCTTACATTTATGTGGAGGAAAGAAAGAAAGAGAGAGAAAAAAAAAGGGTGTCATCATGAATTGTAATTACGGGCTGCATCCAGGAGGAAATAAGGATGCTTTTCTAGCCCATCTTTAGAAATATTCCGCCTGGATCTGGAGGTTTATCCTCCTCAGGGTGTCGGCACAAAGAATTAGCAGCTGTCTTGAGGAAATAAAAGGCCCAAATTTAGGTGGAAACAGGCGATTTTGTTGCGTTTGAGGCTGAGCAGGATCTCCTCACACCGCTATCACATCATGGTGGGAGGTGCCAATCATCCTGGAAATGATGGAGGCCTAATTAACGAGATTAAACCGGCAGATATTACACAATGGGATTATTTTTCCCCCTCCCTGATATGATTAACCTAAATGTCGCCAAAAAAAAAACAAAAAACGGTGCGCCCTTTTGGCTTTATTCCGACTGCGAGGCGTCTATTTCCTATCAACACCCCACTGCCCCCCCACCCTGCTCCACTCCCCCCACCCATAAAAACAGCTGGACGGTCTAACGCACGGCTAAGATCTGTGCGCCGCCGCCGCCGCACATCAGCAACGGATTTTTTTTGGGTCCCCGCATCCAACACGGAGCAATCTGTGCGTCTTACCCTCTCCATGATGGACAGAGAAAGGAAAGAAACGCGCATCGTCGGCCGGTTCACTCCATCAGAGCATCTGAGAGACGGAGGCTGCAGGTTATCCCCGTTCCAGCCCCGGTTACCAGCCTCCCCTTCCCCTCCCTCTCTGCTGAGGGGAGCGACGGCGCGGATCAGCTGCTGCGTCGAGCTGCGCGCATTACGCACAGGACGCATCCGGTCATGACGTTCACGATAAAATCCGAGAGTCTGGAGACATGTTTGACTCCAGTTTCGCTTAGATGTACCGGTGCAGCAAAATCATAACAACCCAGCTCTATTGTCCTTCATCCTTTTCAAAAATACCAATTTTGTTAGTGTCCCATTGGGCCAGTTGTGTACCAAGACAATCCTTTATCAACACCACAGAGGGGAAATTTGCAGCGTTACAGCAGCAAAGGGGGAAGTGCACAAAAGTAAGGAACAGAAGTGGAAAAATAAAAAAATAACAAGACTTTTGCACTGATTCTTTCATATGTGGAAATTGAGATGTTGCACATATTATTTGTGGATGTGGAAAACAACAATACTACACATTGAAAAACAATAATACTGTACAAGATTTTATTCAGTGAGTAGAAATACTGATTCAAGAAACACTGATGTTACACAGATTATTCTGTAAGTAAAAATACTGAAATGTGCAAATTCTTTTATATATAGAAAACAGCAGCTTAAAATGTACAAAATGCACAGAAAATTCATAATGTACTCTTAAAATGGGACTGTGCTTTAATCAGGGGTAAGACGTTTTTGAGAATCACAAAATACTCACTCTGTCAGAAATCATTTGTCTAATGTGGATCAAATGTGATTTCTCTCAAATATCAGTCATGTTTTATCTCAACAACTTAGAGAGTAACACCAAATTGGAAAAAAAAAAAAAGCTTTAGCTCATTGTTTCTAATAATCTTACTTCTCTTAGCATGTAAACGATCGTAAATAAATCTTCTACAAATACTTTAAAATACATGGATGTGCATAATTTGTTTTATTGTCGTATGTTGTTTCCATCAATTAGTTTTAAAAGGCACTGATGTTTTTTGTTTTCTTAAAAAACACAAAAAGTATTTTTGTTGTACGGTTATTTGAGGACAATAATCGTTCATATCTGCCTTTTTTAAGCTGAGTTTTTGTTTGATCTTTTAATGACAATTCAAATGACACAATGTAAGAAGGAAACACCCCACTGCTGCTAAATATCTTGTGTACAGACATATTAAGCCCATCTGAAGCCAACATTCATTTGATATGAAGGGTGGCTGAACAGAAAGGTTTAGAAAAACTGATTTGCAGGACAGATGCAGCAAACAGGCGTAATAATGTAATTGATATATCGACTGACTATGAACATATGTACACATTCATTCTGAAAAATAAGAAATTCTTTTTATATCCCTGGTAGAAAAAAAAAAAAAGCAAAAGCTTGAAACCTTACTTTGAAAACACTTCCTGGTGCTTCATCCTGTCTTCCTGATGTTTCTGTGCACCTTGACCACCTCCCCTCCTTCCTCTCTTGCTCCTCATGAAGATGCTGGGTCTTAAAGAAACACGTTTTCACTGTATTAAACCTCCCGAACTCAAACTCACCTCCAGCTGCGCATTTCTGCCTTATTTTCCACATTTTTAAACAGCAAACTGAACCTCATCATCAGAGCTGTAAAGCACCACAGTCACTTTCTCAGTTTATTCTCATCACAGTCAATATGAAACTTGCCAACATGATTGAATAATTACACCCTCTAGTGTCCGAACTGGGGAAATGCAGCGCACTACTACAAGGTTTTAGGCCAAATGTCTAGATTTTAGGGAAATCATCATGATCAATTGAACGTGGTCCCGGTCGTTCATTACAAGGGTGCAACATAAATTTTGGTGTTTCCGCCCGGTTCAAGCAAACTTTCATTCACGAAGTGTTCAGAAGAATGAGTGAGCTAGCTCGCCATGCTAGTCCGGAGCAACGTAGCTCGTCACTGCAAAGAAAAGAACTAAACTTTTTTTTCGGAATAAAGTGAGTAACCTAGATACTACGAACATGGACAATGAGTGGGAATCGCTGCTGGCAGACGTTGAGAGGAAGCTGGTGACGCTAACTCTCCCTGAACTTGGATGCGCTATGCACAGAGCTTCAGCCCAGTGAGGAGGTGAAAACATCATGTCGGCTACTGAGGAGGTCAGTCCTGCGTTATCTGGAGCGCGAAGACATTACAAGTCGGGAAGATACGGGACTGTCAGTGCTGTTAGCCGTAAATGATTTGATCAACACCATGAACGCGGCTGGTGGCGGTCGTGAAGCTCCAGGAGGAGGATCTCGGAGCGCCCCCCTGTGGGACGAGATGGTACTGCAGCGGCACACAGCGATTCAGCAGGCTCAAGAAGAGCGTCGGTCCACACCAGAGAATCACTGATCAACTCTGCAGGCTCAGGAGAGTCGTCCCGAACTAGAGGACAAATGAGTTTGCATCCCATCTACAGGAAGGACTTCAGGATTATTGGACAGATTGGTGAAGTGGGACAAAAAGATAAACTAAATTTCACCAGCCTTGAGAGACAAATTGAACGTGGATTAAGAAAAGGCTATGATGAAGGTGAGGTAGTTGAAGCAGTCCATTGCACCTGAAGTTAAACTGAAAAGCTACTTAGAGAGCAGGCGAGAACTGTCACTGAGTTCTTTAAGACAAGTCCTCAGAACACACTTTATAGAGAAAGATGCCACAGAACTGTATCATTCACTGACCCGTGCTGTCCAAGATGTAAAGGAAACTCCAGTCCAGTTCTTAATCCGCACCATGGACCTAAGACAGAAAGTATTGTTTGCATCTGAGAGAGCTAAAGCAGGCCTGCGGTATAACCCTGAACTCATACAGACTCAGTTTTTGCAAACAGTCCTGACGGGTTTACAGGAT